TATACATACGATGGTGTCGTAATATTATACGCTGTACAGCACGCTGTTCGCAGTGCAGTAACGATTACGCATTACAACTGACTTTGCATTTCCTCGATCGTGTACAGGATCGCTTATACATCACTACCGGCGCAGCGTAAAAGTGCATCGACTTTCGCGCGGACTACTTCTGCCGGCCACGTGAACGCGATTTTCCCGCGAGGCTTTTTGTTCCTCGTCTAGGATATAAACGCGAAGGAAATTGCGCCGTCACGACTCGGTTTCCCGTAACGTTAGCCACTTTGCCGTGTAATGTTGCACTTGGGGAGAATAGCGCGGTTTAAAATTACATCGCGATGCGCGCGATGATATGCAGATTAATATGTACGTTTCCGCAACCTCCCGGGTCGCGAAACAACGAGAAAGATCGCTTAAACTTGTTCAAAAGGTTTAATTAAAAGGTGTCACTCCTTATGCGTACCTGACAAAAATTATGGCACAAGCAAATTAAAAGAATACGTATGTATTCAACAAATTGTGTTTGTAACAAATTTCTTTCAAAGTACAAGTACTTTTAAAGATTGATAAAGAAAGGGAAAGCATGTTATTACATTATAATCATGTTCAAATTTCAATATGTGAAACGGTTATTTTACTAATCGAATTATAAGATTCAGCGATGCAAAAGATCATCTATCCATAACCTATCCTAAATGTTCCTTGATCTTATCTTTTACACAATCATATATATTAATCAGTAATTCAAGTGATAGTTAATAATGTTTTAAAAACGCGAACAATCGATAACGATAATATTATAAACAATAGTTAGAACTTTAGAACAAGGGTAATGAGATAATATTATACAGATTGCAACAGGGTCTTCCCCTTTTTCTCGGCGGCATCGATGAATCATTGAGAATAGATAATAGAAATATTACACAACTGTAATGGAATAATCTTCCCCTTTTTCCTAACATCGGTGCTCATATCGAGGACAATGGAAACGATAAAATAAACAATTGCAACACATATAATAAAGTGCAGTAAAAAATCAAAATTTGAAAAAGTTAAGCCGTTTAGTTTGCCCTATATTACTGAAAATCTTATTGGCATTGACCGTTAATCATTTTACGGTTTAACTGATTTGATTCATATTTTGGCTTTGTAAAATTATAAAGTTTGTAATCCTCTGGTATCTTACAAAAACGGAATTTTAAAAAAATTAAGTCCTTTTTGACAAAGTTTGTAGACAGACAAATGGATACTATGAAATTATGCAGTAGAAATTAAGAAATTTGCTATACTACTTAGATCCGGTTCCATTAATATAAGATTAATAATCCCAAATCAATTTATCCTTTATCTTTTCTAATTCTGAGAATTAAAAAAAAATAAACTGTAAGTTAAACCGAAATTAAAATTAATTTTGTGTAATGGAACTGGACCTTAGTATACGTAAGTAAAAATAAGTACGAGATTAGATTGGAATCAATTCTCTTAATAATTGTCTGATTTGTTTGATATCAATATTATATCAATATTATTATCAATATCCCACTATAAATATTATAAATATTATATCAGTTTAATAATATTAGGTGCGCAACTAAGTTCTCGCTGTTATTTTGATGAAAATGCAACTTTATTGTGAAAAATGGTTACAAATGAATCATTGAAAGTATTGCCCATCGCTAGTTACTACTTTTTCCCATCTTTTTGGCAGAGCTCGTATACCATCACGATAAAACTGTTCACTTACTGCTGGAGCCATCTGTTGACAAACAGCGGGAACTTAGTTGCGCATCTAATATATTGTGCACAGAAGTATTTTTATATCCATTTCCAATTAAACGATGCCAGTATCCATTGCCGACATCAGAATCCACACACGACAATTAATAAGACGTAAGTAATTAAATATTATAAATAATTAAATATTAATGTTTTGTATTGTATATTTTTCATTGCATTAAATACATTAATTCAGTCAATTTATTATTTGATCCACTACAAATATTTAATAAACTTTAATAATATAAAATTACTTGTAGTGCCTATACTATAAAAAAATTACATGTAAAATTACAATAATTATAGCAGATAATTTTAAAATCCACACAGACAAAAATAATTTTTACTGTTATAGCAAACCTATAATTGCTACTGTATATTCGTAATGGCAGCGATAAAATTTAGTTGATATAACCAGTTTTAGAAATTATTTGTTATTAGAGAATCTGTTTTATTGCTAAGATAGAAAAAAATTTGCTGTGTGTATTTGTCTTTAGAACCAAAGTTAATTTGCTGTTAAAACAAAAAAATATGTTCTTAGCAAATTTTTTTACTATTGAAACAAAATTACTTATTCATTCAAATCCATTATGACAGCAAAAGAAATTTGTTATTGTAATCGATTTGTGTTATTACAACAAAATTTGATGTGTTAGAATGCATCTTATATCCTGCGTATTCTTAAATGACTCTCTGGAGTCTTTTGTTATTATAACGTCGCAGTGTTCATAAACGTATTATTGCGAGTGATCTCTCAATATTTTATCGCATTTATTTTCATTTTTCTTATTATTCACGTTATATACTTCTGTTACTTTATTCAACGTCAACGTGTATTCATAATGATATGAAATCTGCTGTACAATTAAGGAATGTCTAAAATTAACTCTTACCGTACAAAGTCGAGTCACTAGTGATCGAGCGATTCCTGTTTGTACAAGTGTCTTTCAGTAATTATAAATTAGATTACATTTTATTATTTTCCAAAATGAAGTTTCAATATTTATTCTAGAAAGTATGTTGATGAATTTTTAGAGATTTTTTTTAACTATTCTGAATAGGTAAAAAAAAAATGAACAGATCTAGTGACTCAGTTTGTATGGAGCACCAAATTATACCTTGTATTGTAAGAGTTAATACATTTTTTTAGTACATCTCTTGATTATGTTTGTTGTCTAATCGAGAGATGTATTAAAAAGATGTATTAATTTTGAAATAATTTCTTCAGGCATTCCTCAATTGTCTAGCAGATTTCGTATATTCTTTTAGCTGAATTATTTCGTTTATACAATTAAAATATGTCATTAATTTAGTAAACATATCTTGCTACAATAGCAAATTTAATTCGTTCGTATAGTTTAAATAAATTATTTGTAGAACAAACTCATCTTGCTAGTTTTTCAAATATACTTTACTTTTGTAACAAATTGTATTGGTAATGCAACAAAAAAGATTAGTTGATTAAAAATTCATTTATTCTTACAGCAAAATAATTTATAATTTTAGCTAAATTATATTCAACAAATAGCAATCTTTTAACAAATCTCTTTGCTGTCCATATAGTAACTGATAAATTTTACTACAGTATAGTAGCATAAATACTCTACCAGCAAATTTTCTCGATGCATAAAAACTATAAAATATTCTATTATCGTATAATTTTCCGCCTAATATTAATATATATTTATACAATTAGAAATAAAAATACTCATTTTCATAAAATCGTATTATTTTAAATATTTCTACTATAAATAATACATATTTAAATTGTGTAATTTTTACACATATTATTAATATAACATAGAATTTATATATTTTTTTTTACAATGTAACGATATGCAATATATTCTTTCATAAATGCTTCTCTGAAAAATAATAAAAACCGTAAAAAGATTATCGAAACAATATAAAGTTAAAAGTTATTCATAATATAAGCAGATCTTTTATTAGAAATAATAAAAAAAAACATTTAATTCAAGATTTAATGATACATACAAATTTTGATGCAAACTGGAAAAAGATGATTTGCATTCGCTTGGGAATAAAACTTCGTGAGAGTTCTCAAGTTCTCAAGTTAGGTTTACGATATGATAATTTCATTTTAAATGCAATAACGTAAAAATAATGTTTCCTTTCAACCTTTCGCAACGTGACAAATAGCTGGAAGGTGAGGGCCGTTGTAATTATTTTACCTTACCACGGAATAGTTAGGACAAGTGATCAAAATTATATATGAAACGACCTTAGATATATCTAATGTATACTGTCGCTCAAAGATTCTTTTTACATGACGTCAATATAAACGGTTCCACACGATTAACTGTAAAAATTATTATTATGAATGTTTGTATTTCAATATGCAGTCAGCCGGATAGTTTCACGGTCCAAATAACTCAAAAGGGACACATGTTGTTTATAGTGCCGAATTATTATTAATCAGGTATAACCCACACATCGGAATTTTCTCTTATCCCGAAATGAACTTAGTGAATGTTGTCTTCGATCAAACCTTCACAAAACTCAGAAAATAATAATTAGTCTAGTAGGAATCGATTCAAATGTTAAATTGAGTAAGAATTATACGCAAAATCATCAATTTAAATTTCTGCAAATATTAATTATTTTATAAAAAAAATTTAATATGATCTTCTTTTTATTTATTATTAATTATATTATCAGATAAATTGTGTTATCTTAATACTGAATATTAATAAGCAATATACCTAATTATGGTAAAGATTGAAGTTTCCAATAGAAAGTTTCCAATAGACATATATGTAAATTTCTAATTAAATTGATCAAAAACAATAATTAGAAATTCAGAATAAGATTAATAAGAGTCTAACGCTGATGTAAGAGCGAAGAGTTAGGAGATGCAGATAATACTTAGGTGTTGGCGGTTATCTTCATTTATTGTATCAAACGTTTCGCTCAATTTGGGGCCTTCTAAACAAGCAATAACTTGTTTACTTCATCATTGTTTGTTTAGATGTTCCCTTATCAATTAAAAATCCTTTTATCATTTAAAAATCCCCTTATCATTTAGAAGTTCTCTTATCACTTAGAAGTCTTCTTATTTGCAAGTGACTTACTTTCAACGCTCATATTTCTACTTTCTCGCTGAAGACTCCAAAGTTAGACTCTCATTAGCCTTGTTCTGAATTTCTAATTATTGTTTTTAAGAGTGAATCCTTACTTATATATTTATATATTTATGTAATTGTTTAAATTGTTTAAATTGATCATAATTAATTTAATATACATTTTCATGTCAATTAATTTATTATTCACTGTTATCCTGCAATATCCAGGTCAGTAATCACACACATACAAACACAAACACACACACACACGCACGCACGCACGCACGCACGCACGCACACGCACACAAAGGAAAGAAATTACATTAAAGAAATTACATTTCTTTAGATATATGCCTGAATATATATCTGAATATCCGATGACCCAACAGTATTTTTCATCTAAAAAACTTTCTTGGCTAGTAATATTATTTTAAAAAATTGATATGCTCCAAGTAAATTTAACGCTCTATAATTGTTTAAATAACATCCGGAAGAAAATTGAACGCGACTATTCGTTTTGTAAAACAATTATAGTTCGCCCGTCTGATAATTATTATCTTCACTTTTTCATCGTTACAGAAACTAGGCAAGAGAATTATACAGTCCAATCAAAGATTGTCGTTTTTAACAATGAATAAAAACAGGTAACACATGAAATCCTTTATTAAATTTTATTATGATAAAAATACTAAGATATTTTTATGGAATAAGATTTATAGATTATAAGATTTAGGTTAGAAAAAAGAATTAAAATAAGAAAAATTTATTGTAAAATTAAAAACGGCTAAAAATATGATTTGAGATTTCAATTGTTGATCGATATATAAACTTATGCATAGAGCACTGAAACGTATGAATCTAATAAACAATAAATTAAATAATATACAATATCTAGTAATAATTAGATTTCATAAAATCATATTCTTTTAGACATTTTTAATTTTACAATAAATTTTTTTTTTTATTAAACATATTTTCTTTTAGCACCAAATCAAAGCCTGCAAAAGAGGCTATTATTGTACAATGTGTTCAACCTTATGCGAATCATCTTTATAAGGTAAGAACGATGAATGAAGAGCAATTTCAAAATATCAAATGTAGATGTAATAAACACCATATTATTCGTCTTAATAATCTAAGAATTAATAATCTGCCATAATCTTATTAACTTTCTTATTTATAAATTATTTTCGGTTCTAGTAATCTAAATTTTTATGTGCAGTCTTATAACATAAACATACCCGTGGACTATCTTCTCAAAAAAGCGAAAAACTATATTAGGGAGAATGGAAAATCTATAATTGTCATTCCTGATTTAGAGATATTAGGAGGTTATTTTAAAATAAGTAATGGAACCTTGAGGTCAGCACTACTATAATCATTATATAACACAATCGAGAAAATGAATGCATATTTTTTGTACAATATTTTTATTGAATTATCTACTTCAGCAAAATAATTAACTTTTCAGAGATTTTTCAAGTCTGAAAAGAATGGGAAATGCAACTATATCCAACACAGGAAGTATACAAGCTAAATTTGGATTTTCCACACTTAAATTAAAGTGTAATTATGAGGTTAGGTTTATAAATTACTAGATATCAATGATTAAAAAATATTAAGCATAAAAGCATTCAATTTTTTTTTAATATTAATATTGGTTTTAATACACAGCTTATAATTGGCTCCACGGTCATCAGTGGCAACATATTCGCAGCTATTAATGGATTAGGAATAGCGACGAAACTAAATGTTAATTATGATAAAACATACGACGTGAATTTGGAGTACTTCAAAATAAATCATGGTAAAATCACTGTAAAAATGACTGGTCTAATTAATTTAATAAATTTCATAATCAGTCAATTCTCTTCATTAAATGAATTGAATACTATATTGTACGACATGATCGAAGTTACAATCAATAATTTCATTAAAGAGCAAATTACATTTCATTTGTAATTTATAATGAAGTCTTTCAATTATAATCATGCAAACCGTATGAATTAACAATCTTTCAGTAATGCGATAAGTATAGGTTTTAAAAAATCCCACTATATAGGATATACCCAAGCAGAACAGCAAGTCACGATAACGTTAAAATGAATCGAAAATGATTGAAAAATGACTTTTAATGATTATTTTGGAGTCATTTTGACATCATTTTGATATCATAATGACTTGTTCTGCTTGTTGTTCTGCTTGGGTAAATTTAAAATATATTACTCAATTGTACTATCGCTTTTTATTTGATATAAATCATTGTTAGAATATTTATAAAATATCAACACTTCTTAAATAAAGATTTTTATTGTAATATATAGCAAAGTGATTATGTAATAAACCAAAAATATATCTGAAAATTCTATTATTCTCAAACATCATTTTATATACCAATATATACATACAACAATACACATAATACTTATCTGTATAATTTTTGAAAAATATTTGTTTAAAAAAAATGCGCATTTATTTTATACATTAATATTGAAGAGACTTGAATGGATTCAATTAGACTGTGCATCGTTATTTGTATCGATTATTTTTACCGGTAATTTTTTGGCAATAACAGCTTCGGAAATTACAGCTTTTTGAACGTCATTATCTGTACATCCTTGGGAAGAATTATTTTCATCTTGCTCTAAAATTTCTTTTGTTTCAATATCGCTGTTAGAATAAGTAATTACAGGATTATCTTGCATGGTAGCATTATTGTTAATAGTACATTGTTCCATAGTAGTATTATCACTGTCACTATTATTTGTACTCATTGCACGCTTCAAAGCTAAATATTCCTCCACTGATCCTGTTGGAGCTGTCTCAAATGCAACAGTTGCATCAGTTGTTGATGGCTGTATAGATAAATTTGGTGATTTATTCAACTTGGATAATCTTTGACGTTCCCGCAAACGTTTCCGAATCTCAGATTGTATTTTCGATTCTTTTATTACATTTTGAACATCGTCAGTCTGATAATAACGCGAAGCCCAAGTTTCTGTTGAATCCGATTTTGGCAAAGTAGTTTCGGATACAAGCTGCTCATTTTCTTGTTGAGAAGAGACAATTTTGTCTTGACTTTTATCTTCATCACTATTGTCTATTTCCATGACTTCACAGTAATCATCTAAATCAATATCATCTATATCTGTCGATCTCTCTTCTTCGATTTTGCTTTCTTCTATTACTTTTTGTTTTATCTCATCTCCTCCTTCAATGATAATTTCATTTTCATCAGAAGGATTTAATTTCGATTTAATACTTTTATCATTTGATTCTTCATTAGTCTCGGTAACGTTAATTTGTGTTGACTCTGAAGAATTTGTAATAGAAGCAAATTGTAATTTTCCACGTGATTTTTTCTTCGACTTTTTCCGTCTCTCAGCAACATTATCTGCAGAAATCGATATTGATAATATATTGTTTTTTATATCTACATTTCTTTCGGGCATTATTACTTCACTTGTGTTAATTAGATGTGTTTTAGTTACAATATTTGTATTATGTATCTCTATTATTCCTTCATTTTCTTTTCTTTCCTTCAAATCTTGTAAACTGGTTTTGATAGAATTTTCATCTAAATTATTCACGGATTTTCCGGCTTTCGACACATCGTTTTGCAATTCTTTATTCACTTGTGTTTCTTCCCTATCACTATCACTAGACAATAACTCGACAACTGGAGCAGGATTAGGAATTACTAAAACAACATCTTCATCTTCGCCTTTAATACTCTGTTGAGAACTAATAATTCTTTCTAATTGCTTGCGACAATTCTCTTTCGCTTTGTCTATGCTAATGTTATTTTCTGTTGCTTGAGTGTCATTTGTTTGTGATGAATTAGAAGGAATTATATCTTCCTCTTTTCGTATCAAAGCTCTTATTGCGCGAGCTCGCATTTCTAACTCTAATAAATCTAACAAACTATCTCCTTCTTTTCCTTTATCCTTATCATCTTCCCTTTTAATTTTAACTTTTTCAATTTTATCATTATTTTCGCTTTTAATGTTAGATTTTGTTTTAACATTAGGCTTATTTACATTATTTTTTTTATTAACTGGAGCTTTTCCTTTAATTTTTGTTTTATCTTTCTTTAATTTTCCTTTTGTACCATTCTCCTTTTTAGACGAATCATCATCAGTTAACCATTCCTCTGTATCAGAAATGATTTCTAAGGAAGGGCCTATTAAGAAGAAATTATAAATGAGCAGATTATTCCATAAAATATTTACATTTGATATTAAAAATACCTAGTATTTATATACCTGAATCATCAGAATCTTCACTTGTATCTGAGGACTCCAACATAGGTTTGCCATTTAATATAGATAATATTCGAGCTTTAGACATACCATTTAACTCACTTTCACACCATTCTTCAAGTTCACTTAAATCCATATGCTATATATAAATAAAGAATAATATATATACTACTTGTGTTTAAAAGAATATTTTCGTATAACTATTATTAGCTTAAATATTTCACTCACTTTAAGAACTTGTGGTAGCATGAGACGAATCTTTTCTTGCTTAACAGATTTAAAAAGTTGTCGAGCTAGTACTTTACGATCAGACAAATATTCTCTAATTGGTTTTAAATCTCTTGCATCAATCTCTTCTTCGTCTGACGATAACGACGAAGATGTGTAAGAAGATGCACTGCTATATTCCTAATAATAAAATTATCTTTAAAATAAAGTACACTAAAAATCCTTTTGTAAAATTTTCGTAATTAAAAGCAAATTCTATAAATGTATAATTAATGATAAATACCTTATTATTGCCTATGCTATTTTTATTTTTAGACATCTTTATGTCATTTAAGAAATAATTGCTTCAATCTGAATAAATATCAATAAATATTGAAATTACATTAATTTGTAAAACAATTCCTTTTTCTAATATTTTTCTGAAAAATAGGTTAATAGACACTTCACAATTCTGTTACATTATCTTACATTTTTTGGTAAGATGTTAAAAGATAAATTTACACGTAATAAAAGAAACTAAAAAGAGAATTACATAGAAAATTCTATAAAAAATACAATTAAAAGTAAAATTTAATAAAAGATCGAGTCAATAATAACCTATTCCTAGGTTATTCTTGTCACTATATAAAAAAAAACTTAATAGAAATTTCACTTATCACCATTTATAATTACATGTAACTTACTTCATTTACTAGGTACAACGTAAACAGTATAGCTTATTTCTTGTAACAATTATAACTCGCATTATTAGCAATTCCTGCCTGTTTTGTTTGCAACGAATTGTAACAGATGTGACAGCGATTTAAACGGGATGCGCCATCACTTGGTGCATTCGACAACGACATCGTCGCAATCCGATAAAGATTTACTAAGGGCATCGTGTAGATGTCACTAAATGAACGTGCCAACGCTCTGTCACATTTCAATGCGACATAATGCAATATAACCTGTACCGTTGACAATTATTTGTCAACAAAATGATGTTAATTAAGTATAATTGCTGAATTCTCGCTCACAGTAAGTATTACTGTATTAAAGAAATTAAAATGTTTCATGATAAAATAGAGACTATCTTAAATGAATTTTTATAATGGAATTTTTATATTGTTTTTGACAGGCATTTGACAGATAATCAAGTTTCCAGTTAAAAATTAATCAGTTTTGAGAATTATCATATATCACATATCGTGTGCAGACATTTACGAAACATTGATAACTATGCTGATTGAGTATTTATGATACTATTTGTCAAGTTTAGTGCCAGTCATATCTTTGCCTAGCACCTGTGTAACTCAAGGAACAAAAATGTTGAACCGCTTTAAGTCAGTATTAATGAGTGCTGTAGGCGCAAGTGAGCTTGGCCTACAGTACCCTAATGATTCAGACAATGATATGATGACAGACTATATTAATTCTAATTATGTGATAGAAGTAGAAAATAAACCTTACAGCCGTCCAAGTTTTCTAGGCTTGACAGCTGAAGAAACGCAGGTATTTCCGAATCCTTATATGAATTATATGACAAATTGATTTAAGTATTTTTTAACTCTTACAATATGATTATAATGATATTTGTATGAATGTTTGTATTAAATAGGTGAGTGCAGATCATAGAGTAAGACCTATAATAGTTCCAAGAGATCTTAGCCGTTTGCCGTGGTGTGCTGGCTATGCAGAATGTATAAATGCTGGAAAGAGTACTTGGAATGAGGATCAAGCTTCAGCAACACGTGGAGATTTGAAATTATCAGACGTTAATGTTACACTGCCTTATGTCATGTTTTCAATGTTTGATGGACATGCAGGATATCAAGTAGCTCTTACAGCAAGATTACATCTACACAGGATAATCCTGGTGTGTGCTATCTTTAAGAAAGTTATTGTCAAAATAATTTGATATGTATATTATATAAAATATTTACATTAATATTTAAAAATAGGAAAGGTTATTGGCTATACCAGGCAACATGCTATTAAATGAAGATGAAAATGAACTGATAAAGGGTAGAGATCTAGTGACAGGTGCTATAGAATTAGCATATAGACAAATGGATCAAATGGTGGAGATGCAAGCTCAAAATGGTGGTGGTGGTTGTACCGCTATTACAATTTTATTTCTTAATGGAAGACTTTATGCAGCAGGAGCTGGTGATTCAAGGTATGTATGTTATAATTTATATATGTATACATATTATAATATGTATACTATAATTTATGTATGTATACATATACTCAGCAAAACACCAGCAGTAACAGTTAACTATAATTATAATTCCCAATTGAATAATATAATTATTAAGTATTATATTATTAGGTGTTGGAATTAATTCGTAGCGTTTTTAATGAAAGAATGTTATTTATTTCACATGAGCATTAAAAAATACATTAATGAAAGTACTTCCCATCACTTGTAAAACGCTACGAATTAATTCCAACACCTAATATTAAAAAACACTAGTGGAAAATTATAACTAACAGTATTATTCTTAGTTAGTGTTTCCTGGATATTGTGTGATAGATTAAATATTTATATAATTGTTTCTATATGATTACAGGGCCGTATTAGTTTTGGGAGAGGAACAACGTGCTCTTACTAGAGATCATACTCCAGACTCCGAATCAAATCGTGTTAGAGCTCTAGGTTTTTTAAGAAGTAATGAGTTG